TAGTCCCAGCTACTTGGGAGACTGACGCAAGAGAATCACTTAAGCCCAAGAGTTTGAGGTTGAGCAGTGTGCCCGTAGCTCAGTGGGTAGGGTGCTGCCCACATACACTGAGGCTGGTGGGTTTAAATCTGGCCTGGGCCAGCTAAACAACAATGACAGCTGCAACAACAACAAAAAAATAGCCAGACATTGTGCTGGGTACCTGTAGTTCCAGCTACTTGGGTGGCTGAGGCAAGAGAATTGCTTAAGCTCAAGAGTTTGAGGTTACTATGAGCTGTAATGCCACAGCACTCTACTAAGGGTGACATAATGAAACTCTGTCTCAAAAAGAAAAAAAACCCCTAAAAACCAAAATTACAGAATTGTTGATTAGACAGGTATTTTTGAACAGGAATAGAGGTGTTCGTTGGGAGTAGCATTGCTCTATTAAGGCTTTAGTTGTTGCCAAATTGAACTTTTCTTTCTCCCCCCCTTTCTTCTCTGTCCCCTTCTCTGTTCCGTCTCCTTTTCCCTCTCCACTGCCCCTCCCCTTTTCTGTTTTTTCCCTTCTGTTGAGTTTAGCAGATCAGAGATTGCCAGAGACACGGTGTGTATCAAGATTTCAGTAAGAGATTTGTCTCTTGATGGGCAGGGTAAAGGAGTGTCAATTTGTTGGTAGCTTATAGTTGGAAAGTTAACACTTGGATGTCTAAGTCTGTCAACTTGGAAAGAGGTATGCTGAAGATTCTTGCATCTTCTAAATGGGTGAAAGGTTTGAGGTAAGATACTTACTACACATGGCAGAGTACTTTTCCAGTGGGAGGGATAGCTAATAGGTTGGATGGCAGGATCAGGATTCAGAAAGAACCAATCACAAGGTGAAATGTTTACGAAGACTAGAAGTTTCAAATTGAATAAATGATATATGAACCTTGACTAAAAATCTTGGTTTTTGGAAGCGATCTTAGGGCTCACAGAAGATTGCTAATTCAAAATGGGCCACAAGCATATCATGTCAAAATATAATCTGACTATAATATAACCTAACAAAAGTAGGTTAAAAGGTAAATTAGCTGAGCAAAGGACCTTGAAAACAATGTACTCTTAGAAGCTGATGATTTGAAAAGAAGTGTTTTGCACTTAATCAGTCCCTCTCTGGAGCATTATGTT